GCGGCGCATCCCGGCCCGCCAGCATTCCCGGGAAAAGCCGCCCGGGCCGCCGCATTCCCGGGAAAAGCGGCGCAGCCCGGCCCGCTGCTCCCGGCAGGATTCCCAGGAAAAGCAGCACAGGCGGCGCTCGGCGGGACTGGGGGGCTTCAGCCAGGAGGCGGCACTGGGAAACGGGAATTGGGGATTGCTGGGAGTTTGGGATTGCTGGGAATTCGGGGTTGGGTGGGAATTCGGGGTTTGCTGGGTGGTACCCGGCCCTACAGCCGGACATTCCCACATCCATCCCTGTCCATCCCAGAACATTCCCTGCTCCATCCCAAACCATCCCAAAATCCAAACCCTGATCCAATCCCTGATCCAAACCCTGCTCCATCCCAAACCATCCCTGATCCAATCCCAAACCTCTCCGGCTGCTCTGACCCCACAGCTGTGTCCCCATGGAATCCCTTCCCAGATCTCCCAGGTGTGGATCCCGTTCCCACCTGATGCTCAGGCTCTCCAGGAGTTCCGGGAACGCCTCCAGCTGTTCCCGGAGCTCCGGGAAGGAGATGGAGCCGCTGCGGTCGCGGTCGCAGGCGCGGAGCAGGGCCTGGCTCAGGGCCCGGAGCCGCTCCTCGGGCAGGGCCAGGGAGCTCTCCCGGAGACACCCCCGGAGCACCTGGAGCAGCTCCTGCCCATCAATGGAGCCGCTCCCTGGGAAAACGGGAGAATCCCGATGTTCCACAGCCCCATGGAGGCGTCTTCATCCCGGAATTCCAGTCTATGGAGCCACCTCCATCCCAAAATTCCAGCCTATGGAGCTACCTCCATCCCAAAATCCTACAGTTCTATGGAGTCATCTCCATCCTAAAATTCCAGAGTCTATGGAATCATCTCCATCCTGAAATTCCAGCCCCATGGAATCATCCCCACCCCAGTTTTCCAGTCCTAATCCAGGAACTGGAATAATCTGGACGAGGATCCCAACATTCCATGGGCTCATCCCCCTCCCCTTCCCAATCCGGGAAAATCCTGGATGGGGCAGGAATGAGGGGCAGGATAACGGGAATGGCATCCAGGAGAGGCTCAGCTGGGATTTCTGGGAATGTTCCTCCATGGAAAGGGAGCCATTGGAAGTGTCGGGAATGCTTGGATTCAATCTCCAAGGGCTTTTCCATCCCCAACATTCCCATCACTTCAGAAAACAGGGATGGGGAGTTGGGATTGGAGCAGAGCTGATCCCGCTTTTCCCGGCTGCTGGGAAATCCTGGGAATCTTCAGCTTCTGGCTGGAATTCCACCATTCCCGGCCGAAAGAGGAACCGGGAATTCCGGCTCATCCCAGCCCAACCCGGCTGCTCCAATCCCAAAGGGATCCCAAAAAATCCCCCCCGGATCCCGATTTTCTCCTCTCACCGTCCACGTCGTACACCTGGAAGAGGAAGCGGAGCTTTTCCGTGGAATTCCCGCGGAGCAGCCGGTGCAGGGATCCCAGCAGCTCCTCCCGGCTCAGGGAGCCGCTCCCGTCGGAATCCAAGAGCGCGAAAAAACGCTCGGTAAAGAAGGACTGCGGGAAAACGGGAATGTGCCCAGGGAATGGGGAATGTGCCCAGGGAATGGGGAATGTGCCCGGGGAATGGGGAATGTGCCCGGGGAATGGGGAATTGGGAATGTTCCCAGGGAACAGGGAATTCCCATGGATCTCTCCCCTCTTCCCATGGATTCCATTCCCTCTTCCCAGGGATCTCTTTCCTTGGCATCCCTTTATTGGGATCCCTTCTCCCATGGATCTTTTCCCCGGATTCTTTCCCATAGATTGTTTCCTGGATCTTTTCCTGGGATCCCTTCTCTCATGGTCCTTTCCCAGGATCCTTTCCCAGATCCTTTTCCCTGATCCCTCTCCCAGGATCCTTTTCCCAGATCCCTCTCCCAGGATCCTTCTCCCGGGATCCTTTCCCGGATTCCCGACCTCCTTGATCCCCAGGGTCCGTGTGAATTCCTCCAGGCCGATCTCCGGCTCCTTCCCGGCGCCGTTCCCAAAGCGTTCGCTGGCCCAGCGCAGCCACTCCGCGTCCGCATCCGCTGCCGCCATGGCTCCGGAGCCAGCCCGGAATTCCAGAGATCCTGGAATCCCAGCGATCCTGAACCCCAGTGATCCCTGAATTCCAGCAATCCCTGAATCCCAACAATCCTTAAATCCCAGTGATCCCTCAATCCCAGCAATCCCAACATCCCAGCCATCCCTGAAACCCAGTGAGCCTGGAATCCCAGTGTTCCTGAATCCCGGTGATCCCGGAATCCCAGCGATCCCTCAGTCCCAGCCATCCCCTGGGAGCTCCCGGCACAATCCGTTCCCGTTGGGATCCCGCTGGGATCGGCCGGATTCCGGCAGCTCCTGCCGCCTCTGGAATCCCGATTTCCACGGAACTTCCGAGCCCAATCCTGGGATCGCCACATGGGAACATCCCTGGGGATTCCTTCTCCCGGGAAACCCGAGCAGGGATCCTCCCCCATTCCCTCCATTCCCATATTCCCATTCCCCCTCTGCATTCCCATTCCCACATTCCCCTTTCCCCAGGATCCAAATTCCCGCATTCCCGACCTCTCCCGTTCTCCCCCAGCGGATCCGCTGAGCCTCCCGAGGGAAATCCCGGGAAAGCTCGAGGAGAGGGACGGATCCAGCCGGGAATAAATCCCAAACCCCGCTCCCGGATCCCGCCCATCCCGGATCCCGCCCATCCCGCTTTTCCAGCTCTTTCTCCCTTTTCCCGCCGGGAATTGTGTTCCTGTCAGATCCAGCTGGAGCCGATCCTGAATTCTGCCCGTCAGGAACAGCCGGGAATGCCATTTCCAGCCTCCGGCTCTTGATTCCCGGCGGGAATCCCAGCCCGGAGTTGCCATGGGAATGGCGGGAGCGGCTGGAAAACATTCCCGATTCCCGCCGGGAATAACCTGGATGGAACCCGGCCTTTTCCCGGGATCTCCCGCTTCATCCCGGGGTTTCTTCCCGCCTTTTCCCACCATATCCAGGTGCATCCATTGGGAAAAAAACGGGAATTCTGCGGCTCCCGGCGGGATTTGGGGCTCCAAGGGTTGGGAATTCCAGTTGGGAATGGGGGTCTTGGGATGGGAGCTCCATTCCCGACTTTTCCTTGGATTCCGCGGGATTTGCTCGCTCTGGGGAATCCCAATTCCCGCATTTCCCCGGATCCCATGGAATTCCCCCATTCCCAGAGGAACTGAAGCCCTTTCCATCCCTGGTTTTACGGGAATCGCCCTCAATTCCCAGCTTTTCCTGGAATTCCGAAGGATTTCCTCACCCTCAGCCCCGTTTTCCACAGGGAACCACCTCCCACTCCCAACTTTTCCTCGGATCCTGCGGGATTTTCCCGCTCTCAGCAGTTCCGGGAAATCCTGGGAAGGCGGGAAACTCAACATTCCCGTGGGAAAATCCCTGGGAAAAAAAGCGGGAATGGGAAAAATTCCCAAAAGGAACGACCGGGAGCGGAATCCCTGGAAAAGCAGCCAGGAAAATCCCTCTGGATCCATCCCAGCAGGCCGGGATCGGGGCAGAATTCCCAGCTTTTCCTTTCCATGGGAATCCTCTCCCAGTTTTTGGGAGCAGCTCTGTGGATCCCGCGGATTCCCCTCCAGGAAATTCCTTGGAATTCTGCCATTCCCACTCTCCCCGTTTCTGACCTCACTTCCAAGATTTTTATCCTGATTTTTCCTGGAATTCCCTGGAAGTTTTTATCCCCCAAATCGGCTTTTCCCGGTTTTTTTTCCCCCCTCCTCAATTTTCCCAAGAATTTTCCAAGGATCCCGGGATTTTTTTCCCGGTTTTTTTTCACACACACCCCCCCCTTCACGGATTTCTGCCAGGAAAAATTCCCAGAAATCCAGGATTTTCCAGCCTTTCCCATGTGTGAAGTGATTGGATTTTTATTCCCAAAAAAACCCCTGGTGGATTCTGCTTCAAATTTATTCCAGTCCCAAAGTTCTGAAGGATTATCCCGGAATTCCTTGGATTTTTAACTCATCCGGAATTTTTTGGGGGGGATTTTATCCAAAATTCTCCCACCAATCCAGGCCAATGAAGCGGGAAAATCTTGGAATATTCCGTGGGGAAAAAGCAGGAATGTTCCAATTATCCCAGCAATTTTCCCAGGAAAAAGAAAATAAATTTAAGAATAATAATTAAAAAAAAAAAACCAAACTGGGAAAACTTTCCCAGAGAATTTCAGGGAATTTTGGATCCATCCCAGATTTTTTAACAGAATTCCCATGGAATTTGCAGGGGGGGATCCTGGGAAAAGGGAAAAAAATTCCTGGGGAAATAAATGAGGGAAAACACCACAAATTCCATGAAAAATTCCCGGTAAAAACCAATCCCAGAAAATGAAAAATTCCTGGAAAAAATTAACAAGGAAAAAGAAAAAAACCTCCAGAAATTCCTGTTAGAAATTAACAGGGAAAAATTCCAAATTCCTGGTAAAAACAGGGAAAACCCCATAAATTCCATTAAAAATTAACGATAAAAACAAGGAAAAAAAAAAACCACCTCAAATTCTTGCTCCAAACCAACCCCAAAAATCCCAAATTCCTGCTGGAAACAAACAAGGAAAAATCCCAAAAATTCCCGTTCCAAACCCAACCCCACGAATCCCAAATTCCAAGGAAAAAAACCAAAAAATTCCCGGGAATAATAAAACCACAGCAGGAAAATTCCAACCTGGAATAAAAAAAAAAAAATCTCCCCATTTATTCCCAAGATTCTAATTCCCAAGTTTTTTTTTTTAATTCCCAAACTCTTGGAATACGAACGGCGTCAGGAGCAGCTTTAAACACGGAATTTTCCCTTGGAATTGGGAATGAATTCCCTCAGGAACGAAAGGAAAAGGGAATTTTTTTTTTGCACCTTCCGATCCACGTTTTTCTTTGGGAAGAAACATCCCCAAAAACCAAAGGAAAAAATCCAGCTCTGGATTCCCAGGAATTCCTTTCAAATCCCAGAATTTTTTGTTGGTTTTTTTTTTCCAGGAGAAAAGTCTTTTTCCAAAGGTTTTCGGCAGCTCTGGGAGCAGAAATTCCATGAAAAATTCCCGAAGATTCAGCGCAGGAGCCTCTGGACACACCTGGAAAGGAGAAATTCCAACAGAGCTCAGCCAAAATTCCGCCTCATTCCCAAATCCCAAACCTTTCCCAAAGTTTGGAACGCGAGTTCCAACCCAGGATTTCTCAGCCAATCCCAAAATTCCACCAGAAATCCCCAAACCGTCCCCAAAATTCCCAACTTTTTGCAGGTTTCCTTCTGCTTCAGTTGGAATTTTTACCTGGAGTTGGATCCAGCTTTTCCCATCCCATTCCCAAGGCGATTCCCGCCGTTTGTGGCGGCATTCCCGGAATTTTTCCGTGCTCGTGGCTCGGCCTCCATCTCCATCCTGCCCTGTGGATCAATTTTCCAAGGATTTGCAGCATTCCCTGGATGTTTTCCTTGGGATTTGCCAGCCCTGTTTTCCAGGGAAAGCTGCAGGAGAAGCGGGAAGGGATAAATGGGAATTTTCCAGGGAATCCAAGCTTGTCTTACCTGCTCCAGCTGATGGCAACTCTTTGGGAATCCTCAAATCCTTGGAAAAGAGCAGCTCTGGGATTGGATCCTCACCCCGGAAAAGGAGCCAGGAGCTGGGAAGGCTCTGGGATGGGAAGGAGCGTGAAGCTCATCCCGTTATTCCGTGGCCTGGGATCATTCCCGCTCTCCCAGGCTGCTCCACGCTGACCTTGGACATTCCAGGATCCACAGATATCCCAGGAATTCCACCCCAGCCTCTCTTTTCCCGCTGGGAAGCATGTATCCCATCAATTCAAAATTCCGAGAAAAAATCCCAGAAGTTCCTGTGAAAAATAAATCCCATCAATTCAAGATTCCTGGGAAAAATCCCACGAATTCCTGTGAAAATCCCGCGGATTCCAGCCCTGATCCCAATCCCAGCCCTCCTGCAGCTCCTCCAGGAAAAGGCTCTGAGGATTCCCTGGATCCTTCCCTCCTCCAGCATTCCCAGCCTGGCTCCATCCCCATTCCGCTGCTCCTGGAGTTCCCCATTTTCCTTCCAAATTCCTGGGATTTGCCTCGGGAAGGACCTCAAACCCATCCACTTCCAATCCACCTTGGCCATTCCAGGGATCCAGGGGCAGCCCTGGCTTCTCTAGGAATTCCTTCCCGATGTCCCACCCATCGCTGCTCTCCTCCAGCCTCAATCCATCCCCCCTGTCCTGGCACTCCAAGGAAAGGATTCCTTCCAGTTTTTCCCGGGAGCTGAAGGATTCCCATCCTTTGCTCTGCTGCCAGGCCCGAGTCCCTCAGGGCCTGCCCGGGGGAGCCTCATCCCTTTCCTTCTATTTCCTTTCCCTTTCCTTTCCTCTTCCTTTCCCTTTCTCTCAATTTCCTTTCCTTTCCGTTCCTTCCCTTCTCTGGGGGCGGCCAGGCCGTTCCCGCTGCCCCCAGCCCCGCTT